AGCTTTAAGAAAGGGGAAGAAGACACCCACCCATTTGTAGCACAAACCCACAAGGAATCTCCTACAGATTTCTCAGAAAGAAAAGCTTCTTAGTTGCCGAAAAATTCGTCATGGTCGAGGGTTCGAACCAGGAATCAACGCATTTCTGGGACGATCGCTCTACCGACTGAGCTAACCAGGAAGCCAGCAATTGACTGTGTGAGGGCGAATCTATTGAGAACTCAAAGCATAGGGACACAAGTACTACAAATAAGTTCTCCAGAAACCTGCAAGGTGGCAGAAGGGATAACAAAGGGGAAGATTTCCTTGTAGCACGACGCCATAAAGAAATCTGTACAGATTTCTCGGAAAGAAAAGCTTCTTAGTTGCCGAAAAATGCATCCTGGTCCGGTGTTTGAACCCAGGACACACGCCTTCCCAGGGGAGTTGTTCTAATTGAGCTAACCAGCAAGCTAGCAATTGACAGCATGAGGGTGAATTCATTGATAACTCCCTTCCGCCACCTTGCAGGTTTCCGCAGAACTCGTTTGCAATAAAGCGAGCTATCCTGCACAGCTTTCAACCACTGTCGTGAAGCCACCTTCGGACACTGGCATTCGATTGTTTCGTTCCGAAACAATGGAAATAAATTTTTTTCATAAAGTGTGCTCATGCTCTTGATTTTTTTAAAGATTTTTAATGGGGTTGACCCACATTCAAGTCTACTTACAATCGTGTAAATACGATATAATGAGTGTCATAACCAGCTGCCAGTATTTTGTGTATGCTTGAAGATTAAGAGGTTTCAATAGCACTATCACCACCCATAGGGTCAATGTACAAGAATGTCCGAAATTAGTAATCTGATTTCAAAACTCATTAGCATCTAACTTTTTGGACTTCCTTTTCACATTACAGGTTAGAAATTGCATTACTTCATCCTGCAAGCTTGAACCAGCGTTGTCGCGAGTATCTCTTTATAGCTGCAGAGGTTTCCCAAAAGTCAGCCTTGCCACAATACGTTGATGTTATGTGGTGAACCATCAAGGAACCTAAAGGTGACGTTTCAAAGCAACGAGATGATTATGAGAGACACTGTAGTGCAAGGCTCTGAATTGTAACCACCAGGGGTTCTTAAACATGCACCTAAGAGCAAGATCACAAGCTTCTGACAATCTGCTTTCACTGAAATGCCATCACTGCAATAGAGATTACATCCCGCAACCTTGAACAGCATGAGTGGAGCAATGCCACACCAAGAATGCATGAAGGAGTGATTGCAGCAGATGGAAAACGTGCCAGTATGGTTTAACCGCTGACAGCCATATTATGATAAGCATCTACAGCTAACTTCTTGGTAGTACAAGTAAGCTCGCACAATAAGCATTCTACATGCTTTCAATATGTGACAACCCAAACCTGCCACACGGTCGTTCACTGCCACCTCTTTGGGCAAAATCACTCCGGGCTCAACACAGACATGCTGCTTGCAGTAACGATAGTAGCTCATCATTGTTACACTTGTGTGTGGACAGAAACAATAGGCATGAAGAACAGTCACTCCAAATGCTTGCGTACAGTCCACCAGCGTCCCTTAAGTGACATTGATTGATATGTGTGGTTTAACATCCGAAAACCACTATTTGATTATGAGAGACGCCGTAGTGGAGGGCTCCAGATATTTCGACCACCTGGGATTCTTTAACGTGCACCCAAATCTGAGCACACGGGCCTACAACATTTGCGCCTCCATCGGAAATGCAGCCACCGCAGCCGGGATTCGATCCCGCGACCTGTGGGTCAGCAGCCGAGGAGTACCTTAGCCACTAGACCACCGCGTCGGGGCTCCCTTAAGTGACAGTACGATCTTAGTGGGAGACGTGCTGCATACAAACAACTAGGAACAATCGGCTCCATGCAGCAGCGAATGGGGCATTCCAATGATGCTGAGGAGAGTTTACAGCAAAAGCTGTATATGGCTAGGAGAAATTAAGATCCCTTTGGCAGCGGTGTCACGAGCGGTCTCCATTAGCTGTGTTATCAATTACAACGTTAGCTGCATCATGCCTAAGCATGATGCAGCTCTTGGCTGTGTTGTGAGTGGCGTCGTCCATCCCATCGCAGCCGTGGCGCCGAGTGTGCGCGCATAAGTTTTTCCCGAAACCTTCCACATCGGTATGCCACGGACAACTGTAGAAAAATGTGGAAAGTGGAAACATGAGAGAGCCCGTATTTGCCAGGCTGATGGCGCAGTCCGGGCACAAAAACAGGCCCAAGAGGCCAAGTTCCAGCCGCAACGGCGTACCAATGATCCAGCAGCCTTCCAAGCCACGCTAAATCGCTAACAGGAATACAAGCGCCAATGGTGGACGGATCCTCTAAACCACGCCGCCAAGTTAACCCGTGAAGTCAAATGCTTGCAACGTCGTTGCTGCGTCAATGTGATGAGTGCAGGAGAGAGTTTCTCCAGCAGCATATTGGCTTTGGCTGCAACATTTGTGACAGCCTGTGGTTCGATAACTACTATGATTAACGCATTCGACTGCTCATTACACTCACCCATTACTGCAATCATGAGGGGCATAATGTGCTGCATGCGAAATAAATGCTGTGGTAAACCCAAGCCAAAGGATGTGTCTAACCTCATTAATAAGCACGAACAAGTAACCAATAATTGTGAAGGGCTTCAGTGTCACGTTGGGTTGAACCCACTGCTAAATACCAGGGCCGCACTTTTCAGCTTTTGTTGGTTAACCATTTGTAAGGAGTGCTTGGGCGGCGATTTTTGTATGGTAAAACATCATTGTACAGTAGCACACAGTAGGCACGACGAACACGCCCTGCAAACGCACGCGTACAGTCCAGCTAGCATCCCCTAAGTGACAGTAGTACGAGCTTAGTAGGCGACGTGCTGCATAAAACGAACTAGAACCAATCAGCTCCGTGCCGCAGAAAATGTGGCATTTTAATGACGCTGTGGAGAGTTTTGTACAGTAGCACACCATACACATGCACAAGCATCAAGTAGGAGTCCCCTCCTCCACAGAGCCTTTGTGTTCCGTGTTCTATTGAAACACTCCTAAGCAATGTAAACATGAACCACAGCCCGATCATGCAAGAAACTAACTTTTTCTTCATTTTCCTGATGTAGGTAACACTAGTCCCAAGCCACAAATTTGCAATTGGCAATTAGCACGTAGCCAAAAACAGGGGTTTCCCGCAAGTACCGAATGTAGTCACGAGCGCCTGTGCAAGCACAAAAATGCCTGATGAGTGTACAAACATATCTTCAATCATATCTTACTTGGCTTTGCTAAGTAAAAAAAAAAAAACACAAATGTGTTTTAGACTGCCCCCTTTTCAGACTTTTTGCAATCCTGAAAATTTCAAAATCTGAACTTGACTGTATAACAAAAGGACTTCGGCGTCAATGGCCAACTAAGTTAACCCTGCTTATGACGAAGCTTCATACAACGAATTCCTTGATGTAACAAAGTTTTTCTATTCCTGTCGTTGCTCTATAGAAGCACAGGTATTTGCGACTTCCATGTAACAAAGTAGCAGTGGGAGACAGCCTTGATATAACGAATTCTCCCCATGGACAATCCAGGAATTTCGCCCTGGATTTCGTCATTTTGGTACGAGCATGCACCTATAGCGGGTGTCCTGTGGCCGACAAACCACGAAACGGCAGCGGTGTGCGCGGCACAGAATGCGAGAGCGAGCGCTCATTATTGCGTGCGGGTGAGCGCGAGGCGGGCCTGTGCCCCATGAGCCGGCGTTGGTGCCACCGCGGGCACATGCGTGGATGTACCCTCTCTCTCCAAATCAAAAACAAAGAAAAAAACTACTTTTGCGTTGGCAGGGCCACACTTTTAGTTAGTGTCACATATGTGGAGCTGCACTGGATAAGGAGAGTGCTTCACCGAATAGTTTTCCATGGTATCTGTGTCGTTCGCTCTTCGGTTTCAACGTCGTGCACGTGTGCATGGTGTGACCCCCTGCGCACACATGGTGTGGCCCCCGACAACATCCAGCTTTTTTTTTTTTCTTTTTTGAATGCAGAAAACCATGTCGTCACCACCGAGCACCGAGGGGATGTCAGATTAGGCGCTCATGGAAACTCTCAGAGGCCATGGTGACGACGAGTATTCGGAGGTTGACTCGTCCCGTGCTACCGTCTTGTGCCGCGCCGCGAGTTCGCAGGCTCATAGCTTTGGTGATTAGTCGATTAGTTCCGACAACAAGAGGACGGCACGTTGAATGAAATGCAATGAACGCGATAGCAACAAATTATAATGTTATAAGTAAGGCTGGCAGCCAACTTTTTTGGATTCTCTATCGCGAAAATCCTACAATACGCTGATGTGAGCGAATACGGCTGCTCCAGGGAGAAGAGATTTTTTCACAGTCCCTTTGCATTGAAAGTGCACAGCCGATACTTGCAGAGATTGCGCGTGCACCAGCGATCGCGACCGCCTTTAAAATCCAAGTTCATTGTTGCTACTCATACGACCCTTGCCTCTACCCCTCCACACATTTTTTCATGTTCATTCAAGACTGTTGGTTTCCTTTGTTTGAAAATTCGATGGCGGTTCTAACACGGCGGGGATGTTACCTTCCAGGCGATAGAGATTGGCGGGCCGGTTCATTTGATCCGAGCTTCAGCAGCACTCGTGCGCTTTTACCCACTTGAGAAAGTTACGATGCGTGGGGGCATCTTATCAATTTAGACTCGTTACAGAACACGGCGGCGACAGCAGAAACCCGCTGACAATTGCTATCGCAATAATAACGCAGTTTTTTACTGCTGAATAAGTGTTTTAGGTTAGCTCTGCCTTCAGTCCCCTTTATGTTTTATTTGTGCGCTTATTTTCTGAATTTTTGTACTGACACTCCATAGAACGAAATCCTCTTTGTAACTAATTTTTCGGGAATTCATAGATTTCGTCATATCCAGGTTTAACTGTAAGTGTATGGACAAAGTATAAACTAAGAAACGCCAAGCAACTCAGCCTTACACTGCTTTGGATGTCATCCCACAGGCGCTGCACATCAGTGTCATTGTTGTAGCGGTCGATAGACTTTGTGGCTTCCGACCTGATGGCACCTTCAATCTGAAATTAAAGAAGTTATTTATGTATTGCTCAAGAATAGTAGCAAGCAGAAAACATTACAAAAAGATCGGGACAAATTGCACAAGGAGTAACAGTACATATCCACACTTCTTTTGGACATATGCCAAGCAGACTACTAAATATTGCAAGGAGGGCACAACCCAAATAGGTTGCGTTATGCAAGCGGCTCAGTTGAGATGACACACTAACAGCTTATTTTACTTAAAAGGAGCACTAAGAAAAAATTTGCATCAGCTTTCTTTTTCTGATGCAATAAGTAGCCAATGACCCACTTATAGGTGAAAACTGTTTGCTTGAGTAAACCGTGGATAACTATTTGGAGAGGTTTTTGTAACAACCAGTCAATCCTAGCTTCAGGGAGTGCCAAGAGTGGCAAGGCCGGATTTTCGTTCTTATGAATGCTGCTGGCCCAGTAACCCCACATAACGACATTCACGTAAAACCGCACTTGTTGGATGAGACGAGGTAGCATGGGCCATAAGCATTTTTGCTTAACAGTGTGCACGTGGGTTCACAGTTAAAGGGAACACTTTCATGTGCATCATGTCCAGATTTTGCTCTCTGGCAAAAACGTAGTGGCTTATATTTGCATAAGACCACCGCTGGGTGACTGTTCTTACTCCTTTTGATAGACTAGTGTCATTGACGAACAATGTCTCTTCGTCTACTTGCAGTTATGAGGCCCGCAAAATGACAGGTGCTCATTAGAGTGTTCCCTTTAACAGTGAATGGTACTGTACATTCTAGAGGTCACTATGTTAGAACCACAATATGACAAAGCAAACTGCAGTGGGGGGGGGGGGGGGGTGCTTTGGATTACGTCTAACCATATGGCGCTCTTCAACATGCCTCTATACTCTATCTCACCACTGCCGTTCAGCATTGCCAAGGCTACAGAGTGTAAACAAAGTACACGCTTGTGCAGCAAAACCTAGCTACAGATTCAATAACATTACAATTGGGAGGGAGGAGACATTTGCAGTTGTTTGGGATGTGTTACATGACATCAATGGATGATAATTTTGTTCTCCACATTTATGTTGTGTGCCTTTAATTGCTGCATCAGTAATCGCCGTTAATTGCAGTTAGAAATCGGCATTGCAGCGCACATGCAGACACGCTTGCTATTCAGCCACTGCAGTGGTAGCACCAAACTAACGGTGAAATGAGTCATCAATCTGCGCCATCTCACTCTTAGAGGACAAAGTATAAGCTACAGTCGCGCTCAATATGCCTTGCACCGTGCTCTCTGGGCTCAAAACGGTGCCAACACTGCAAATCGCCCCCTACATGGCAAAAACTTGTAGATTAGGCTATCTCAGCAGTACTTTCTGAACCAAATTAAGGTTTGTCTGTGTCATTGTTCAGGCTTGGGATGAATTTAACCACACGGCAGCGTGTTGCAAGTCATATCGAGTGCAACTGCACATTTGGTCACTCACAAGATATGCTGTTCGTTTTGCCATGTCTGCTAAGCCTAATGCGCCGAGAATTCAGTAATGGTTCTTGAAAGAAGTGCAATATTGTCACGAATACGTTGTTGTCAAAGCATCAGCATATTAAACTAAAGCAGATACAAGCATCAATTTGTAACTTGCGGGTCACACAGCGCACGATACCTTCAGAAATTCAAACAAAGGAGACCAGCAGCTATGAACGTAGCCTTTTTTTTTTTTTTTCCCAGGGATGGCGTCTATTCTCATTACAGCCTTCAGCCTTCCAGTGCTGAAGGGAACTTCTGAGATAGAGTACAAATCTAAGCACACTGGTGTCCTACCTTTTGTGTAACCGCGTCAATTAGGCATTTATGATGATGATATGCGAGCTTTTATGGCGCAAGGACCATGCTTGGCCAAAGAGCGCCATGAACAATGATGCTCGGAAAGCAATGGTCTGCGATTGAAGTGATATGAACAAGATATGAACGATGACACTGTTGCGCGGCTGTAATGGGACCTAAAACTTCGTGCCAGGAGGTGGGTTAAAACTGAAAAGTATTATATCATGGGTGTGACGTGAAACGCATGGAGCTGAAATGAACGACAGTGTTGGTGGTGAGGGCAGCTGCAGCCACATCTTTGTACAGAGGTCACGCTACGGATTAGCTCGGAATATGGCGTGCAACTATGTACATCTTTTAAAAAATTTTAACAGTGATTGCGGATTAAAAAGCACATCACTAACGATGAGCATGACAGGATGTAGTGGATGCTGCTGTCGATAAGACAATGAAAAGTGCTTTTTTCTTAGAGCATCTAAATTGCTACACTGGACGAGGATGTAGACAACTGTAAGTTGATCTCCACATCTCTCACGGATGAGTTGGTCACCACCAGACGAAAGGTATGAATGTGCAGTGCATGTGTGTCCTATCTGTAGCCTTGTAATTGTCACTTGTGTGTACTGTGATCTGAATACTGCCGGCCAATTTTCAAGTCTGATTACATGTAATTTCTTTTGCGTTTGCCTATCCCATAGGTGCCGCCAGCATGGCCTGAGCTCCCGTCGAAGGGCTTCAGATCAAATGCATGGACAGCTATTGATGTATTGGCGGCGGCGTTGTCTTGAACGGATGCAGCTAGCTGATTCGCCAACATGTTTCCAGCTATCTCACGGTGCCCTGGCACCCAACACACTACAACATGTCATTCAAGAGTGCAGATATTGCATAATGGAGAGTAAAGCAACACAAAGGCAGGATTTTTATGTTTCCTCAGAGTTTTTAAAGCTGTTACTACACTCAGAGAATCTGTATATTACCGCATGTCGTAGTTCCTTGTTATGCTTGACGGCCACATATATCGCATGAGTTTCTGCGAAGATGCTTGTTTGGGAGTGCAGAATACCGGAATTATGAAAGGATGGGCCAACAGCTGCATAGGACACACCAGTGTGAGACTGAAGCATCTGTGAAAAATTCTGGGCAAGTGTACTTGTGTTAGAGTTTGAGGAAGTGCGTACAGATATGTGCAGTAGGTGTGTGTTTAACGACTTCCGTGAAAGATAGATCACAGTCTATAACCTGCCACTGCCACGATGGCAGATATACTGTGGGAGCCATCAGACGGTTTTCTAGTAGTGTCACGCCTGCTTCCTCAGCTAGGCTCTTCACACAAAGTAAGTAGGGCTGTCGCAGCGAAGGACAAGGCAGAATTGAACGAATCATTAATTTTGGAATAAGTGGCATGTACCTCGTCTGAGTTAACCTTGAGATAGTACACAAAGGACATGCAACATCTCTGCAGGTGGCGCAACCATTCATTTGATTTTACGTACAGGCTTTCTACAGGGCTAGTTGAAAAAGAACTCGTAGAAAGGCGAATGCCTAGACGTGGACAGGGTCAAGCATCTTTAAAGGTGATGGTGTGACAGACTGATAGGTTATAGCACCGTAATCCAGGCGCGTGTGTACAAGGCTTTTAATAGATTCATCAGACATTTCCTGTAATTAAATGAGGCATTTGGCTGCCATGTCATTCTCACCAAGTTTTTCTGGCCTTCTATATGTTCCTTAGTCATTCTTGTACACTGCATTTTCGCACTTTTTTCACAGTCCTGCTGTAACCCAATAGGGCTGCAGTGCATACCAGTGGTGGATCCAGAGGGGAGGGGGGGCAGCAGGAACAATCACCCCCTTCCCCTCCCAAAGTGTCTGCAAGTTATGGTTGCCGCGGAGTCGTTTTCTAACGTTCAAGCCGGGCGGGACTTTGAAGTGGACCAAAAAACTGTGCATCGCTAGAAAAGCTGCAGCGTGGGACGACGAACCGGGAACTTTGTGTGCTTTTTTAAAAAGTGCGGCATATCCAATGACCTTGATGGCACCGAGGATTGCGCACTGTTTGAAAACAGCCACAAAAAATTCAGCGACGACGACTCTTAATGAGCGTGGCATTGGCAAGTGCGGTATCTTCATAATGCAAGTAACTAGAAGCAGCGTGAAAAAAAAAACGGCGACAACCGATGATGAACCAACGGCTTTGTTTCACCTTCATGTTCACTGAAAGTTTTCTTTTTGAACACTCTTTCGTTCGGCTGACAGTCAAGGTAGGTGTTTTTTTCCCCGAGCTTCGGACTTTTGGTGTCGGCCTAGATTCGAGTAAATATGGGAGTAAAAAGTGACCTAAATCCAGGAGTACTATACATATTGCTCAAAAGTGAGTCCGTACAGGAATAAAATGAACAATATAGCCAGTAAAGACTATCAACATAAAAATTGCTAGACATACTATTACTGTACCTTTGATCGGTAGGCATATGCAGCAATGGCAGCTCCCAGTTCACAGATCAAAATAATGGTCAGCAGCACACTGAACTGAAAGTCGGAATAATATATATTATGCAAATGGTACAAGCAAGAGTAGTTGTTCAATATTAGTACATATGCATGTAAAAAAACTGCATGGAATACAAAACAACATTCTGCTGCACCATTGCCTACAGTAGACAAGTCGAGCTTGCGCACACAATTTGTGCTGCTCCTATAAATGACTAGTTGTATTCATAAATGTTGAAACAAGTACTTGCACAGCACCATAGACAGGCTGCGCCCAATTCAGTTTACACAGTTTTTTTTGGCTTTAACAGATGACGCAGCAAAAATAAATGCATTCAAGGCACACACTATTTAGGTCACAAAACTATTCCAGTCAAGCAAATTGAATCTAAAATTATGTCCTCTGTGCAGAAGTGTACTGACAATGGCTGTGCTCGATAAAAAAAAAGGCAGAAGGACACCTGTCTGCCTTTGAACTTTTGGCAAACTCTGACATAATAATTGCAGTTCTCTTCTAAGTGGGGCAGCAAAGACAAAGAGCAGCATATCGTCTCCTTCAACAGGTTCAAACGACAACCGCGTCTGAATCATCATAACTGGAAGCCGATAGATGTGAATTAACACCAAAACGCACTTACAAAAAACAGTAAAACCTCATTATTCGAAGTTACTGGGACCGTGAGGAATCTTCTAATTAAGCAGGTTTTCAAATTAACAGAACATACAAAAAGCGAGAGGCAAGGAACTTGAAATTATTCAAATTAATCAGGGCAGGTCATTTGCTGGGCCGGTTAGTTTGTGGCACCAAGGGTTATGTTTTCCAGCAATACCTGGCACAATTCTGCTGCAAAAGAGGGGAAATTCCAAACCTAACCCCTGTCACCCCAAAAAAAAAAAAAAAAAAAACGTGATCAACTAAAATGCGTGCCTGCAAAAAATGAGACATCTTCCCTGCAATACAGTAATGACACGCGGGAAGCATGTCGCCTGCTTCTTGCTGCATCAGCACGTCATGATGCAACCATAGGCCGATTCTTTTTGGTAAAATAAAGGTTTTATAAAGGGACAGTGCGACCAAATTCGCCATGTATTTTGGCTGGGAAACATCACTATTGAAGCTTCCGGCATGAGTTTTCAAAGTAGGCATTGCAGGCAAAAACTCCACCAACAGTGCAAGTGCACATATTGATGGAGCAACCTGCACTCGAAGGTTCGCATACATTGCGGATTTCTCCAGACTGACCTTTATTTTTTTAATTCAAAAAAAAATTATTGAATCATGACGCGCTGATGTTGCAAAAAGCAAACAACATGCTGTCCGCACGTCATGCTGTCCGTAATTTTTTGACATCTTGTGTTTGATGTAACATTGCTCTATGTACAGACAAAGCGGTAATAATAGCTGGCTTTTATGTGCCAACACCACGATACGATTAGGCACGCCGTAGTAGAGGGCTCCGAAAATTGATCTGGTGCGCATGAACCTGTATTGACATAGCAGAGTTAATGGACTACTAGCACTTGACCTGACTGAAATGCACAGACCATGCCTGGAATAGAAACCACTACCTTCAAGTTAGCAGCCAAGCATTATGGCCACTACACCACCCTGTCAGACACACATACAAAGCAGTGTTCACTCTGAGATTGAAGTAAACCAGGAACATACATTAGCCCATAAAAACGACATCACTCAAAAAACAATTTATTGCCACAAGCTGGCTTCCGACCTAAAAAACTGGTCACATGGTTCTTGGTTATCAGCTGTATGTATGCACAAAAACAAAAAATAGCATGCAATCATAAGCTGCCACACTGAGATCTGAAAAAAATAGTATAAATGCTTGAAAGCAGGCAAGTACATTATTTAGCAGCAGCAAGAGTTGTCACAATATTCCGATTCTTTCGCTGCCCACACACACTTATAAACCATCACCCATTTAAACATTGTACTGGTCAATATGCACAAGTAAATTCAGAAAAGCTGCTGCACTCCATCCAGTTTTTGTAGATAACAAATCAAAGGGTATAATGTCCTGACACTGCCCACCGGGTGGCGAGATGTAATAGTGGAAAGCTCCAGGTTAATTTTCGATTACCTGGGTTCTTAAAGGGCTCCTATACTAATTCTTGCGCTTTGCCCCCACTGAAATACAACCACATTGGCCAGAAATCTAATCTACAGCCTCGTGTCCAGCAGCAGAATACAATAGCCAATTAACAACCACAGCAAGTGTATCTTAAACATTTGTAGAATAACATACGAAAGGAACTAGGGAATTGTATAATAATTACCTCCTCCCTGTGAACACTCTTGGGTTGTGTGAATAGGTAAATTCTACAAGTATTGTGGGAATAGAAAAAGCAATGCAACACTGTTTTGTGATAAGAGGTCGAAATGACCGCACTTATGTCTGCTGTGCTAAACAGTTTCATACACGCCTCCTTCCTAATGCGCAAGCAGTTTTACACCTCAAGAAGGCTACACAAATGCAGAGTACATACCGCCATGATCATGTGATAGTTCTCCCGGATGGCACCACAGCATCCCAGGAAGGCAAGCACGAAGATGAAGACCCCCAAGACCACAATGGCCACAGGAGCACCCAAGTAGCCCTCATAGAAAGGCTTTTGTGGGCTTAGCGCTGTAAGCACCACTGCGCCAACAGCTATCAAGGCGATCCCGCAGAGCTGCCAGAGCAAGAAGCATAAAAACATTGAACAAGCAGGCTGGATAAAAAAACAAGTAAAAATTCTTTCATATAAAGCTCATGTAAAAACTGCTATCCACCTGAAGTAACACATATATACAAAGCAGTTATTGAAACTAAAAGTGGTTGCCACTTTTTTTAAAGACATTTCCCTTTACCTTACAGGCTCCAGCAACACACCGGTGAAATTTAAATGTATACAAGTACAAAGGAACACTGATGAAGTTTATATGATCCATGCCAAAATTTGAGAGTGGAGGAGGAAGAACTACAAGAGAGGAGGCAGGAAGGTTAACCAGCCACATTCCATGTTGGCTACCGATCCCTGGGGGAATGGAAAAGTGGAGTGTAAAGAAGAGAGAGGGAGACAGAAGGGAAGGAGACAAAAATTTCGGGACAGCTGCAAACAACAGGCATCAAAGTTAGTGTACATCTCTAGTTTTAGTGGATTGCATTTTATATAATGTAATGTATAACCCACCTAGGACGTCACAACCAAAAATCAATACACACAATAAAATTTGACCAATAGTCAAGCTCTGATCCACTTTGTGGCTATTGCAAGTCTCATTGCACCACATTTGGCGACTCTGTATAGCAAGGATGCACCAGCTTCTAAAGCTGTTTTGAAAAGTGCAGGCAATTTCAATGCAGTCAAACAGATTGGCGTGACAGTCACTGATATGGTGCACCACAAGCAGTGCACGTGCTGCGGCACTGTTTTACAAACAGCAGTAGCTGAATGTGAATTGTGATATAGACAAGAATGTTTACCTCCGTCTTTTCATGGCATTAATATAAGCTTTGTGAACACCGCACATCTATAAAAGGTAGATTAAACCACTTCAAGCTTTATGCAAATCAAAAACAGCGACAGCTTTGAATAAAGTTGTCGGAAACTTTCAACAGCGAAGTGTTCTCTTGTTCAATCTAAAGCACAAGATGCACTAACTTTATTTTGCCTCCCACCCATAGCGCAAGCATCACATCGAATCTGATGTAGATAGAGTTTGGAACGCGAAATTGATAGACCTCAAATCATTGGATTTACTCTAATATTTATCAATGATTTACAATCCAGGCCTTGTAATGAAGCCATATGCATAATATGCTGAATGCTGATTTATTTTCCAACTTGATATAACTTTTGTTTTCGAGAATTAGGCTTTCCTAATGTACTATCGACATCAAATGAAACGCAAACAGCAGAGCGCATGGCACAAGCCTTATCAATGGCACAGTGCGCACCGTCTACCAGTCATTGACACAGTGAGGCCCGCACATCCAGTGTGGCAGCACTGCACGATCCCTCTACAGTGCAATATTTCTGCTTGTGTTCCAGGTATGGTATTTGAAAGGAATAGAATTTAAAAAAAAATACAGAGGTTAAAATACTGCAGTCGAAGGCGAGTACTGTAGCACGGTTTGTCATGACGGAGGCAATCATCACGGAATGCCTGGAAAATTGTATTTATAGTAGACAAAGGTCAGTAAAAAATGCTGGCAATTTCACGTTGTTTCACTTCGCGCCTGTAAAGCAAAACAATTTGCGCGCTTTCATCTGAGGAAACACTCTGCATTTCCAGTTAAAATGAAGCCTTTTCGGGTTGTTCTCTGAAAGAGGGGTGCAGGTGAAGCAGTGCAGGCGAACGAGATACGACAATCGTTTGAAAATTAACCCGCAAACCAATTATATTTCTCTTTTTGTTTCATCGTGCCAAGACACCGACTGCACTGGGACGCTGCAGTAAAATCAAGGAATTGCGAGTGATACGATCGAAAGCGCTCGGCACGCCCACGATTTCCACCATTGTCACCATACGAAAACTAGAGCAGAAACGGAGATAACACACTCTAGGTGGATCGCGCAGTGCTGCCAAACCGGATGTGCACGCTTATCAACGGTGATGGCTGGACGGCGAACACTATACTGTTTCTAATGCTTGAAACGCGCTTCGCTGTTCGGGTTTCGTTTGACGCGGATAGTACATATTCTTGCTGCGATTTCATCCCCACAATATCACTTACTTTTTCCCAAATGAACCTATATGGCTATGGGTCCACAAACTTGTTTGCATGCTTTGTGTTAGACATTCCCAAAAATAAATTGAATAAAATCCAGACAAGACAACTCGTGGAAAAACAGCAGAGGGCATGCCATAAGCACATGAGCACACACACAGCTTAAAAATGCCATTAACTGGAGAAATTATGCTATTGTTTTAGCACAAGATGCTTAAACAGGCTCTGCATACTGTGTGAATCAAAGCTAGAAAACACTCTGAAAGGCTATCAACAATTACAAACATTAACAGTTAATTGCTACATGCCAATGCTTTCCAAACTAACTTTTACTCAGGTGAGCAGAACTTCTTAAAAAAAAGTTGATTCAAAAACTTAATTGCATCTTTAGTTACTACTGAAGTGGCGTACAACATCGACACTACGGGAAAAGTGAAGTCTAGGCCTATTTTAATTTGCATGCAATTCTTCGCAGCACCGACAGGGACATTCATACACTGATCCTGGAACGAGCGCAAGATGTGATTGAGAGGCTTAGCCTCTCTCATCCCTCACCCTTTCCATGAATAAAAGTTGTCCCTCACTCGCTCTAGTCCAGAATGCAAAAACTGTTAACTAAAAGTGATACAGCTATTTATAAATTTCAATCGTTAATGGACTTAAAGTACTTAAAATGCACTGAGACAATTTCAGTGTGGTTTGTGACACTAGTGAATTTCATTTCAGCCTACAAACACAACACAGTCAACACACATAAGGTGACACTTTACATGTCACCACATATATGCAATAACTACTGCGAGATGAAAGCACATCTAGAACAGCCTTCCTTTGTAGTCAAACAATACTGAAAATAGGCAAGGTGAAAAAACTGGTAGCATACACTCAAAGTAGCCCAATGCTGAAGGTTAATTAGGCTACTACAATGCTATGAACCAACAAAAAACCAAATGTGACACTCAGAATATCATAGTTGAAACATTCAATTTAATCCACATTTTGACCATACTTGGGAAGTTAACTATCCTTTTCATAACTTTCAGAAGGTATGAGTGCAAACCAACTACCATTCGTAAAAAAAAAGAGAAATTGAGTTTAAGCATGTGTTTGAATAGAATAAGATCGCAAATATATAGTATATAGTTGCATGCAAACCCATGGCAGTAAACGCACGAAGTTCACTACACAGAGAATCACACATTATTTAAGTGGGTGTTGCGTAGCACGGAGGCTTCGCTAATCTTTAGCGTTTGCTAGGACTTCAACGAAGGGTGTTACGGAACGAATGTCAGTTCCACATTGGCTAGTTGGCGAACTTGGATTAAGTGACTTAGTGAGGATTCCAGTACACAAGAAATTAGCATCGAGACTACATGCGAGGTGGTGCGGTTGCAGCATAAAGCTAGACAGCGGGCTTAGATTGAGTAACTTAATAGCCAAGAGTTCGATGATGGAAGTTCATCTGGTCAAATATTGGATGAGATGGAACACTATCACTGACCGCGTCTTATGAAATGATCAGACGTTTCGGAACCACGTACTCAGGCTTGAACAAGGAACCCGTATGCGGTTCCGGAAAGTCAGATCATTTCATCAGACACTGAGTGGATTCTAGTACAGCAGAGGTTAGTACTGATACTACACACGCCAACCAACTAGCTTTGAGCCGGTACGGTTGCAGCGTAACGCCAGACTATTACGACCAGCCGCACCACTTCAAAGCTGCAGGGCACCGGCGTTGGTTACGAATGGTTGCACCACACACGTGATTCAGACGTGCGCAGTACAGAAAACACTAACCTTAAAAAATTGTATTAAACGGCGGCCAGCTGAAGTCTACATGATAATTTACGTGGGCATTGCAGGTATACTAGCGTTGGGAGCACGCTTACTGACTGCAGACTGAAATATAAAAACGCGAAACTAAACCACGACAGCCAAATAAAGAACAATTAATACGCGTTTAACGAGCACGCATGAATTCCACCACCTTCGAGATAAAGAGCGGTTTCAATTTAGTACTACTAAGCAAATCTGATCTGTGTAGCAAGCAAGGCAAGGCCGGCGCCCGGCGTTATTTCCACTTATTGCGACATTTCCCACATCATGCGACGGACGTACCGTAACGCCGGCACTAAAAACGCCCCTACAATGGCGCCTTTGAGTGCCCTTTCCGACAAAGCACCCGAAACTTAGGTTTCTACATTAACACGATAAACGGGTCGTTTGCATGTGCACAACAGCCGTGTGGAGTGGAAGCCATTTAACGAGGTTTTCGAACATGTCACTTTCCTTTTAGCGGAGCAGCCACCAATATTTACGCAAGGTTTGCGGGCTTCACGTTCGTAGAAGCATTAACGACTGCATGACACACTGCTTAAACAGGGGATTAGACGCAAAAAGCACGTAGTCTTGCGGAAACCGGATTGACCAAAACGTAAGGCCGTAGTGCGTACCAACTCGAAACCGACGAAAAGTCACTCATGATGCAACAAACCTAAGCACCTAGCGAAAATCACAAACACTCGAAAACAATTAATTGTACAAATGTCGCATATACGCGCTTTCTTGTCACCAGTCCGATGCATATTGATAAAAACCTGCTTTCCTATCCTATCCGTGCGACGCGCCCTGCCAGAGAATCAGTCCCAGAAAATAAGTAGAAATCAGTACTTACAACAAATATGGCATTAAAAGCAAACAGCAGATACTTCACAAATCCCATCTTTGACGAATTCACCATTGTGAAGAGAAGCGGTTAATCTATGCTGCAGAGAAAACAAAAAACAGGAGAACAAAGTTGCCACCCAACACGGTGTCTACTGCGGACGGAGCGTTAATGGCCTTCGCCTCCGCGCGCGCGTGCTCCTGTAGTGTTCATCCGCGCGGCGCAGCCGGCGCGCGCAGCTGCAGCGGGCGGAAAATGGGGCGCAATGATCGATAAACCATCACAAATAAATTACCTTCTCTGCTTTACCTATTGAACTGTGTAAAATATTCGTTGCCTTGTCTACGCGTAAATAAAAGTATATAAACTTTTTATTCTTGTGCTGAGATATACAAACCGCCACGATACTAAGAACTATTTCTTTAGACTTGCCGGGACGCTGGTCGCTCTCGCCAGTCCCACCTCACGAGGTGTGACGTAGTTTGTGCGCGAAAAGTTTTCAAGCCAGCGGGAGGTGAATCACGCCGGCGGACTTATCACTGTTCATTCACGTGGGTATGAAGCGTCAAACGGAGGCAGCAGCATTTCCGCGAGACGTCGGCCTCAAAGTGAAACTAGATTTTTAGACAAGGCAATCTTCGCGATGCCGTTGGCTAAGCACCTGTTCAATCTTTTCTTTGCGTCATAATAGAATAATTAATACTGGGGCTTTACGTTCCAAAACCACGGCGTAGTTATAAGGCACGCCTTGGTGGGGGGTGGGGTGGGGGGTGGGGGGGGGTCTGAAAATTCCTACTGTCTGGTGCTCTTTAACGTGCAACTGAGATCGCACAGTACACTGATTTGATTGATATGTGGGGGTTTAACGTCCCCAAACCACCACACGCACGATTATGAGACGCCGTAGTGGACGGCTCCGGAAATTTTTTTGACCACCTGGGGTTCTTTAGCGTGAACCCAAATCTGAGCACACGGGCCTACAGCATTTTCGCCTCCATCGAAAATGCAGCCGTCGTAACTGGGATTGATCACGTGACCTGCGGGTCAGCAAGCCACTAGACCAGTGTACACTGGCCTCTAGCATTACGCCTCTATCGAAATGCGACCGCCGCGACCGGAATCGAACCCGTGACCTTCCGGTCAGCGTCTGAGCACCATTTTCGCTGCTCCACCATGGCGGACTATTTATCGCAGCAAGCAAGGTACAGATAAAAAAAATACGAGTCCAGCTGGATGAGCAGGAGCGTTTGTTTTCATCTCAAAAATTTCGAACTACTCTGGATCAGGCAGGACACAACAATAGAAGAGGAAACACACTTCAACAGATGGGACCCTAGCTATTTATTTATGTCGCTGAAAGGGTACTGAATGCACTGTATGTTATAAAGACCCGTAGGCGTAAAACTGCGCAACTTCATTATCATTGTTAATAATGGTACGTTTCACATTTTTTTCTTTCTTTCAGTAGACGGATGCTTCATCGGGGAATCACATGCAGGGCCTACGTTCCGACGAGTCTGTCTCTATTGTTGAGCTCGATAATACAGCAATGAGCACCGCGCAGCAGATGCCTGGCGTATGTTAGCCGCAGGTGCTCGCGATAGCAGGTTGCAATAAGGGGAGCTGCAGTATGAAAATATAACGCCCAGCCTACCGGTTGTCACTCACATATTCAGAAGCTGATCTCGCTGCTTTTATAGCATGAATCGAATAATGGTTCGTTTCTTCCTGTTATTCGCAGTGCTTTAATGTGTTAAATTTATTCTTAGGTCGTTGTTTAGAAAAAGCGTGTTTAGAGGCAAGAACGCTAGGTGTATGGCATATGTTTCGAGCGCGTATTAGAGAACTGTGGTTGTCAAACTAACCTCTTTTACACCATTTATTATATCACCTCTGCGGTCTTGGTAAACTTAATTACTCCCAGCAGTTTCTGAATGGCATCATTTTGTTCGCACTTGCAGATGCGAACGAAGAAACAAAATGAAAAATTCCGCTCAGGATTCCTCATGAGCACTTTAGAAATTGTACTCAATTTTGGTGCTTGGGTTTGCGGTAGTCTCACAGGGATGCCTTTGATGCTTTTTGTTATTTCTTTCAGGCTACGAAGCAGACACCTTTTTAAGATTCATTTTTTTTAGATATTTGTGAAGTACTTTCTAAAAGTATACTAAAATCGATAATATATATATTCAAAATTGTTCTGGTCATGTGAACACAGCTGTCTGGTCTGCTTTCAATTTGCGAATGGCAGAACGTTTGCAGTATTTCATTTTTTAAATGATCTCCGTGATTTTCGTTTTATTTATTTATTTATTCATTTGTTTGGGTCACTTGATATACAAGTGACGGAGTCATGGCTAATCCCCCGGAGGGGATATGTGCCACATTGACGGGAAAGAAAATATATATTCAGCTTATTAAAGCTTATCAAGCAATTTAAGCTTATGAAACATTTTACTTTGCCACGTCATGATTTGATTGATATGTGCGGTTTAACGACCGAAAACCACCATATGATTATGAGAGACGCCGTAGTGGAGGGCTCCAGAAATTTCGATCACCTGGGGTTCTTTAACGTGCAACGAAATTTGAGCACACGGGCCTACAACATTTCCGCCCTCATAGGGAATGCAGCCGCCGCAGCCTGGATTTGTTCCCGCGACCTGCGGGTCATCAGCCGAGTACCTTAGCCACTAGACCACCGCGGCGGGGCTACTTTGCCACGTCAACAGGAGAATATAAAGCATGGAATGCAAACGTCTAATTTATTCATGAACTTACTTGACAAATACCATGCGGAGGTTGCGGGCATCTGCTCCCACTGGCAGCTAGCTTCATTTCGTCCACTTTCATTTCACCGTTTATCCAACATTTCTTCATTTTAAATGTGACCTTCGAATAATTTCGCAGCGTTTCACTTTCTGTTGGATATCATGCTGGGACAAACAGTGTACATACGTTATCATCATCATCATCATCATCATTATTATTATTATTATTGCTATTATTATTATTATTATTATTATTATTATTATTATTATTATTATTATTATTATTATTATTATTATTATTATTATTATTATTATTATATTATTATTATTATAGATAGATAGATAGATAGATAGATAGATAGATAGATAGATAGATAGATAGATAGATAGATAGATAGATAGATAGATAGATAGATAGATAGATAGATAGATAGATAGATAGATAGATAGATAGATAGATCATGTTACCAGAAATTACCAATCGTTTTCTTCGTACAAGGCCCCTATAGATGTCTCTGAAGTGTCCGAACAGGCTCCAAGGCTGTTCTCGTAGATTGAAAACTCAGCGGGTATGCACCACAGAAAGCGGGTAGAGGCGAAGCAGCTCGTAGCCTATATAGCATTGCCATGCAAAGTATATAGTGTATCAAAGGGTAGGCATGACTTGCCAGTAAGGAATAGGGGAAGTCAGTGGCTGTAATGTCAAAGTAAACAGGAAGGAAAACAGAATATGGTATAGCAGGTGCTTAGTCTTTTATAGTATAATTTAGCAGGTGGATGGGAAAGGGAAGCAATGGTGCAGAAGGCTGATGTTAGGGTGAGAAGGAATAGGCTAACCATGACGGGATGATGTCCAATATAGCATAGCAAGGGGTGGGAAAGAGAAGTGCGAGTAAGAAAGTGTTCTGGGAGGGTGAGGAGGAAAGAAAGGAGAAGAAAAGGAAATATAGAAAGAGGTGAAGAACATGATGGTGAAGAAGGATAGACGAAGCTGCTTAATCGGCCTTCGGCGTCAGGTGGTGGTACTTTAATTGCTTGCCAGCTCCGCTATTTAGTCAGATTTCACTGGCGTGGAACTAGCCTTAATTTACTTGTTATTGTCGTTTCTTTTACCATTCGGAATTCTTATTTCCTTCGATATGCCGATTACATCACAGATGTGAATGTATATAAGAAAAGTCATTCTCTTAGTGACGGCCGCCCACTCCGCAGTCTGATTTGTGATCTGTTCTGTATGGTACATTCAGAAATAGTATTGTTTAGATAAGCTATATTTTACAGAGTAAACAAAAAAAAACACTACGTAAAGTGTGTATTTTATACTTTTGCTGAAACAGACGTGAGCATCAAACAAATTTCAAGCCGATCCACACTAAGCGCTACACACGCGAGTTGTGTTATAGCCATTTTGAACGCCGTTTGTTGTTGCAGTGAGCTACATACAGAGCCTTTTTTTCAATGGATTAGAACTATTTGCTCCATTCAGAATTGCGCAACGGCCACGTACGCACAGAGCGCTCCAACCTTACGTGACTCGGAGCACCGACTCCATGGTCGCCATGCGTTCGCTACCCGTGGTGCGTCGCACACCGGCGCGCCATTATGAAATACGCTTCAGGCTGCTCTATTTGTAGCGCGCCTCAATATGTGACCGTTCATCGACGGCATACCTGTATGTGTAGCACCGTGCGATGACATCTCTGCTGCGCGCGGTGGAAGGGCAGGGGGGAGGGAGGCAAGGTCGAGGGATGGGACGGAGACGGAAATCCGCTCTAAATTTTATGTATTACGAAGGCCTTTAACCACTTTTGTTCTTCTTTTCGTTTTTCGTGGGTTCTTTTATGCTCCGCTTCTCTGTACAGGACAGCGGCGTAAGCAGGGCGTTTTTTAGGGGAGGGGGCTGGTTCAGCCATACTTTATGTATGTTCATGCGTGCGTTTCTATGTATGCGTGTGTATATGCACAGAAAAGTCAGAGCATTTTCGTAGAGCGGGGAGGTTTGAAAGCCCCTTTTTACAGGCGTACAAAAGAAAGGAACGAGAGAGCTGCTTTCAGAGAGCGCTCGGCATTGGCAGTGCTGACCTACCTTGCCGTGTTTTGCGAAAATGAAGTGCCTCTTCCGAGCTATTCGTCGTCGGACGGGCATTACGACCCGCCGGCTGCAGAGGTGTGGCATCGAACGGGTGCGAAGACGGCGGCTTCCCGAGCCATCTCACCTCCGCGCACAACCGGGCATCCTGCCCTCCCGACAGGAATCCCGTCGCGTACGGCTCAGTACTGACGGCACACGAGTGCAAACACGGCGGTCAAAGCCCAGGCTAGTAGTGGCGGGAGGGGGGGGGGGGTGCTTTTGTACTTTCGGCCTGCGTCACGCGACACACAGCCAGCTCAAAGTTCTCTGTGCGATCAGGAGTAACATGATGCCACCCG